CTTTGAGTCTTCCCACCTAAACACCTCAAAGAGAACCTTCCCTATTCACAAGCACTTAGACTCAGAAGGATATGTTCCAACAATGAAGAATTAAATAAACACATTGAAAATCTGGAGCATCAATTCACAACACGTGGCTATAAACAACACCTAATCAGAGAACAAATAAATAAAGCAATTTCCACACCTAGAGAAGACACCCTAATGTACAAGATTAAAAATAAATCTAGCCGCATTCCTCTAGTAACCACTTTCAATCCCACTCTGCCTCCACTATCCCAAATAATCAAACGTCGCTGGGAAATACTACATCTCAAACCAGACCTAAAAAAACTGTTTAAGGAACCCGGCCTTCTTGCATATCGTAGACCTAAAAAGCTAAATGAAATCATAGGTAGTAACCACATTTCAGGGGACAAGGTAATCCGTAATAAACTAACAACAAAAACAACAGGATTTTCCCAACCATGTAACAACAAAAGAAGTTTATGTTGCAACAATATTAAACACACGAATTCATTCACTGGCTCAATCACTAAATCTACTTTCAAAATCTACCACGATTCTAACTGTAGAAGTCATAACATAATTTACCTCCTAGAATGCACACTATGCCAGAAACAATATGTAGGAAAATCTGAATGGCCCTTTCACTACAGAATTAATAATTATCGCAATCGAATTAAGTCGACTCCCCATGAAAAATTATTACCTGTAGAACAACATTTCCGCCTGGGAAAACACGATTTCAAAACCCATGCCAAATTCACTATAATTGAGAGAATAGAAAAGTTCAGAGCAGATAACATTAGAAAGATTTTAGAGTTCCATGAAAATAAGTGGATACAACGTCTAAAAACACAATATCCAGCCGGGCTAAACCATAAATTTAACAATATAGATTGTATTAATATATAACTCAACAAATCAATACCTACCCACATTTCTCACCCACACAAGACAGACATGCTTGCGGAGGTGTGGAGGCCTCACACTTATACACACACCCACACGAAAATACACACTTACACACATGATACTCACTCACTCCCTAATGAGCCAAATGATAACACACACCCACAGCAATATACACGCTTACACATATACTCACTCCCTAAGAACCAAATAACACACACACAAACACTTAACAGAGACACATCCCCTCTCCAGGACCAATAAAACTGTCAAACTGACCAAGGGAATTCAGAGAAGCATAGATCCATCCAGTTCTTATCTCAAATAACAACTTAAAAGAGACTGTTTGACCAACACAAGGAATGTTAAAAGATTCATGTTAAAAAGATAAAAAAAACAAACAAATGAAAACTACAGACAAAAGTGTATTTTCTCCATCAAGACATTCATTTCTGTAGTTTACTGCTACCAGCAGGCAGAAATATTTCTCCTCCCGATGATGGCCATTTTGTCGAGGAATCTAAATAAAATAATAATAATAATAAAAAGAAGAAAAAACGAAAGAATATTAATCTACAACCCAGTGTGTCTGAAGATTTTAATTTTTTAATATTTTTTTACTGTTCAATATATATATATCTACTATCTATATTTCTCATGCTGTCTGTCTGTGTGTCTGTCGTGGGCGTTGTTACCTCGCCCAGGCCGCATTTCTCATCCGATTTCGATGCGGTTTTCAACACAATTTTGCAAATGGCTGTCGTAAGGACATGACGGAGCCCGATTTTTGAGTTCGGAATCAGGTTCCGAAAAAATCGATAATCGAAAAAAATTCTGCTTACAGAAGGAATGATCGCATTTCAACCAAATTTGACACCCTCTTAGAGTCTACCATTAGAAGTGTTGTCCAGAAGTTTCATGACCACAGACCCCTAAACAGCGCGGAAAATCGATAAAACCCCAAAACGGATACGCCCAGATTGTGTCTGAACCGCATGTCGGTTTTTAGCGAAAACCGAGCGGATTTATGAAGAGGCCATTGGGAGTCATCCTGTGAAGTTTCAACTCTGAACACCCCCACCCCCAAACAGAGTGCAAATCGACAATCAGTCAACCCTTAAAAATGTTTTCCGGTTTTTAAAGCTGATCGTATTGTGTTTATTTTGTTTACTTCTTTTTTTTAAATAACAGATTTAATGTTTACCATAGAGCTTAGAAAAAGTTGGCAGTGTGGAGATAGGCAAGAAGTAAGGCATGTAACAACATCAGCACAGCAAATGGCACTCCTCTAAAGGCAAGGAAGGGCAAAAATATTTTAAGACAAGTGATAGCGATTGCTGTATTAGTCCTAATATTTTTGAATCAAGCACGGGCAACGCCGGGCCATGCTGCTAGTATATATATATATATATATATATATATATATATATATATATATATATAATCAAGGACGAAATTATTCGTATACCCATCAATTTTGAAAATTTTGTTCCATTTTTCAGAATTTAATTCCTGTATGATGTCAGCTTTTTTATATGTTATTAAACACAAAAAGGAATATTAAACTCAATTTTCAGGACAATAGGTTAAATAAAACAAATTTGATAGGCGAATTATGCAAAATAAGAAAAGAGAAAATTTTTCGTACAGTAGAAAATAACGTTTTAAATTGATTGATTCGTGTAAGTAATATACCTAATCATTTCATCGGTGAAGCCTTCTAGATTATTTATTCAGTAGAATATTTGTGATAATTCCAGCAAAGAACATCACGTGATTACCATTAGCATTACCATTGTTATTCTTATGTTAGCAACACGATCACGATAGGGAAGACAAAGGAGCTTAGCGTTGACTTGAGACAATGAAATTATTAACTTTCACAAGTTGGGAAACAGTTACAGCACTATTTCAAACCGGTTAGCTATCCCTAGATCTACGGTACAGTCCGTTATAAATAAGTTTAAACAGTTTGGCACGACAGAGAATTTTGCCTGGATGTGGAAGAAAACATAAATTGTCACCGAGAACTGCAAGAAAACTGTGCTGTAAGGTTAATATAAACCCAAGTGTTGTTTTGAAAGACATCGCCAAAAGTTTACATACGATAACATAGCCAGCATCAAAACGCTCACTAGGGCTACATGTTTTGAACGTATTATCGGATCTCATATTTATATTCCGGGCCGAACGAACTTCTAAAGTTAAAATTCTTCATTTCGTAAGAAACTCTTTAGTCGGCTAACCTGATAAGTAATTTAAAATTTTCATGATTTATTGAATATTATATCTCTAGTCTAGTTGATATTTTGAACGCTTTTTTAAGTTCTGCTCGACTGAAAAATAGTTAAATTCTCGTAATTTTCAATTGTATTATCATTATATATATATATATATATATATATATATATATATATCATCCACAGATAGACTGTTTCGCTGCTCATCAGTGTAGCTAGACGTCCGGTTGCTTCTAGCTAGGATCGAAACCCAACTGAATCGGCGTCAGTCGTCGATTCTACCACTAAGCTGTTGGTGCACGGCAGGAATGAAAGTGAATTTAAGCGTATTTACTTTTAGATAAACAGACAGTGACTGAGAGAATTCGATTCGATTTACCGAAGAGTCTTGCATTATTAGCCGTAATAGTCACTGTTTACAAACCCACACATCCTCCCGAGAGAGCTCAACCGAAATAAATTTTTCAGGCAGCAAATTCTCTTTTAGGCATGTCTGATTGAATAAATTAAAAACATTATGTCTGTTTATTTTGATCATAATCCTTTCATATTCACGAATATTTCCTTATATTAAATAAGACAAGAAATGCACTGTTACAGTAGGAATTACTTTTAATGCATAATTTACTTTCCGTCTCTTTCTGAGATCATCATCTGGGGTGAAACTGGTAAGGCAAACACTATGTGTAGCTATCCATTAGCTGATTTTTTTTTCTTTTGTCTTTAAATGCTATGGCTGACAGTTATACTTTAGCGTTCATTAGAACGTGAATATTTATCCATTATGGATTTTTTTCTTTCATATTGAAATCTCATGGTCGAACGTGCATTTTGTATATATATATATATATATATATATATATATATATATATATATATATATATATATATATATATATAACGTTTATTAAATAAACAAATAGAATAAAGAGAAAATGTAAATAGATTTCACTTTAAAATTTAGTTTGTCTTAAATATTTACACATGGGTTTAGCTAGTGCATACTTTCAAAATCGGAAAATCTTAAATGGCACGGCTTGCCTTCAGTGTTGTTTTTTTTTTATTCATAAAATTGCACCGGGTTCATTCTTCAGTCTTCTAGGCAGAGTCTATTGCTCGCTTACATTGATAAATCTCGTGAACAGGTTGTGTTATTTTCGAAATATTTAAGTTCTGGGTTCATTATATTATTATTATTATAGATATGAATAGATTGATATCGTTATGGAGTGTATCAATGCAACACGCGCGAATTCCAACGCTGTGTTTTCTACATTAAAGCGAATCCAATGCCACAAACAATAAAAAAAGATGTTATTAAAAGGTTCATACAGTAAACGAGGAGAAATTTTTCAGTCGAACATCACAAGAATGAATATGAAAACTAACGATTTGTATCCATCTCGGTTGCAACATGTAGCAGAATCTAACATTGTTTGATCGGCCATCGATCACTGGTCAGAGGCCTCAATGAATGTGGCGAGGTAAAAAATACTTCCTCTCATAAAATACACAACTATACACGCACACACACACACAGAGAGAGAGAGAGAGAGAGAGAGAGAGGCATCAAATTTGAATAGAAAGAATTATTCTTCGATATTGACACGAAGAAATTTTCCCTCTTTCTTATAACGGTTTCTTTTAAAACACGAATCTCACCCACCCGAGGAGGACATTTTGTAAGTTCACCTGATGATGGATGTACAAAAGAAGACAGGAATATGTCATAATCATTGAATAACCATAGCAACATCGTTTGTATGGGCGCATGGCGAAATTCTACAATGCAAAGAGGGAGGTAAAGCAAAGAGGGGGAAACACTGACAGCGAGACAGTGTGGGTATGGAAGCAGGAGAATGTAAGATGAATCAATCATTTTTTTCTCTCGACACTCATTCGATACATGGAATACGTTTTGAAGGAAGGCGAAAATATACATAATAACCACACAATATAGAGACGCAAGAGTAAAAACAATAAATTATGATTGGGAAAAACAGCAGCAAAAATGACTGCAGATAAACAATAATAAGAGCAATAATAACTGACGAAATAACAAAAGTAGCACTGACAGTATTACAGAAATTAGAAATAATAATAACAACATAGAAATAAATAAAAGGAATAATTAATGTCCATTACTACTACTACTACTACTACTACTACTACATTAGAGTCTGGTTTGGGGTGGGAATCAATAATAAATTTCCAGCAATAAATTTGACCTGAATGCTACTGAAGTCTTGATGGCTCCAAATCTTCCTCAGTTGTCTTCAATCTTCCTGCTAATGTCTTTAGAACAGATCCCAATGCATCAAATATCGTAGGCATGAATTATAACTGCAGATTCCATAGAAGCTGCAATTCGTTGTCCATATCTTGGTTCGCCTCCGTTTTTTATTCTCATTTTTTTTTTTCACTTTGTGGTTTGCAGAAACATCCGCCATTTTACCAAATCTTTGTTCACCACAGAGTTTATGTTTAGAATATTTTTTTCTAAATGTTTTAAATCTTCGTGATGAAGAGTTATTTAAACGTAAGCAGCTAATGACTTCCTTTCAAACTTTGATGACATTTTCCTTTGTGTCATGAAAGTGTTGAATTAACATTAAGTAAACATTTTTCTACACCCGGTAAATACTCACATTAAAACACAAGCAGACATATATTTATATATCTCTATATCTATGTGAAAGACTCGAATGTATTCCGACATATGTATTGCAGGTAATCAAGCAAACCAGATGAAATCTGTACCATTCTGGCGCCATATCCACCTATAAAGTCTTGTATGACTTCCAAAGTTGGCACCAGATGCCCAGACAATTGTGTCCATCACAATTCATGATGTGGTTCTAGTTTAGATTTACTTCCTTCAACCTTCAGCCAGTTCCTCAGTGCACTTTAATCCAGTTAAAAATGACTGTGAACAAATCGGTCAATTGATTTAATGCAGTAGGGAGAATAAGAAAGAGATCTTTCTTATTCTCCCTACCTTTATTTCTTTTGCTACTACTTCTCTTTTCTCTTTCTTCCTGCTTTCTTTTGTCTTCATCACTTCAACATCTTTTTTTTCTCTCTCTCTCGCTCTCCCATATTAAATCAGTACTTCTCTTTTCGATTTCATTTCTTTATTAGTCTTTCACACAGTTACTTTGTTTCTTTTTCTATCTCTTTTTCTCTAAATTTATATTTCTTGTGATCTCTCTCTTTATTTCTTTCTCTTTCTTCTCTGTAGACTACATGTTAATTCTATACTTTCTCTCACTCATTTCCTTTCATCCTCTCTTACACTGTTTCTTTTCCTATCCGTTTCATTCTCTCTCAAATTCAAGTTCTCTCTCTCTCTCCCTCTCTCTCTCTATCTCTCTCCCTCTCTCTATCTCTCTCTATCTCTCTCTCTCATACTTCCTTCTTTCTCTTCCTTTCTTCCCATTGCCTCTTATTTTACTTGATGAATTGATGGATGTGAACAAAATCAAATTGACAGAAAGATACGGAGAGTGTGAGATCGATAGATCACTTAATCGATAGGTTCCGAATGAATGGACGCCTAGAACCACACATACGCCAAACAATTATAAAAAGAGAATGACTGAAAACTAGCGATAAAACCGCAAGAGGTCAAATGATAGATAATCTCACAAGAGGATGTTGCAAATTTAAATATACAAATGTATGCTTTGTTCAAACACAGACTTTGATGCGCTGTTCTTTCTTCTGACATCTGGATCTTTACTTGGATATGAAGTAAAGCCTTAAATGAAATATTTGGCAGATAGGTTATATCAAGTTTTAGGTTGCAAACCAAAACTTCTACAATAAAATTGGTATTAACCACCCGATGTTCATAAAACATTTCACGATACACTTATTTATATTAACAATACATAATATAGGTTTTGGTTTATATAACTGTATTTAAAATAAAAAGATAGCAGCTTGTTTTATGGATGTCAGGTTCTATTTTTCAAATACGCTCAAGTTAACTTTAAATTTAGTTTAATTTTAAAATTTTATTTATATTTATCCAAAAACTATAATCCACTAAAATGTATAGAAATAAATAATCCAATCTTTCATAAACATGTTAAACTCCGTCCATTGACCGTTATCAGATTTTCAAGCAGTCACTTAGTTAACCTTTCAACTGTTTATGTACTTTTTAAGAGAGCTTTATTATTATTTTCTTTGTGTGCATATTATTTTTCTTTCTTACATATATCTCCTTCTATTAGATTAATATCCGGAGAGGTTGATTGGTTGTTTTTGACGGCTTATCAACCTTCTGAAGGTTATTTAAAGACAGAAAATAGTTTTAGATTGTGACAATTTTTTGGCGATAATAATATTGACTATTGACTGTTATTTGCGCTTGGGCACTTCGGTAGTGTTGAAAACATTCAAAATATAATACAAATTATTACTCAACCACTGACAGCGTTTCCCTTGCATTTTCGAGGAACATTTTTGTGAGCCTGCACCTGCTTAGGGGAAGCTATAAATACAGACCAGGGTAGTTGGCGAATGGATTACACGTTGTCAACCGATTTATTAATCCACAAACATTTCACGCTTCTCTGATGTAGATTCAACACTGAATCCAAGGTAAGAACTTTCCCCCTTTTCAAGGGGTTAAACATCTCAATGTGTGTTTTTGTACCTTTCCATTTTCAGGGGTTTATTTAAACACATCTAAATGTGTATACATAACTTTCTCCTTTCAAAAGGTTTTTTTATTAAACACATATGTGTATGTTATCTTTCCCTTTTAATTGTGTATATGTGAACTTATCCTTCTTTTCAAAGATATTACAACTACATCAAATAATTTATTATATAAAGAACTACGACACTTCATTTGTGACGAGCTTTCGTTCTTTTTTTTTTTTTTTTAAAGGTAACATTACACCACCTACAATGGAATGATCAATAATAACTAATCAATTCCTGATTATGGCATACTAATGCACATTTTTTAAAAGAGAAAATTTGTTTTTGACATAGACAGGATCTTAAAACTATAAAAAAAAATCAAGAATGTTTGTACCCAGAATTGAACACTGATCGACATTTTCAATAACTAAATTGCTATTGATGAAAATTGTATTCGTGGCTGTTGATAGACTCAGATGCCGGATGTGTGTGTGTGTGTGTTCCTGAAATGACAATTTTGACAAATATAAGTATAAAATGTATACATTGAATATATTTATTACACAAAAGGACGTCTAAAAGGTCACAATCAGAAGGACTGCTGTAAAGTGATATGTAGAAAAAAGAACAATATCGGTAAAACTTTCTTGAAAATGAAGAAAACAAAAATGAGAAATGAAAGTAAAGACAAAGAAAAGAGATGTGAAAAAAATGAAAAAGTATCAAAAAGGGAATCTCAATTGCGAAGCAAGAATAAAGAAAGGAAGATTAATGTTTAACAATATCGAAAAGGAAAAAAAGAGTAAAGAGAACTGATAAAATATATATTTTATGCGCAAACATTAAAATAACTGAAAACAGAATTATAAGAAAAGAACAAAGTAGAGGAGAAGTGAAGGAGAGAGTGAAGGAGAGAGTGATGTTGTAAGTGCAAAAAGAAGGTGTGTCATAAAATTTAGAGAACACGGAAAGGAAGATGAGAATGGCGAGAAAAAACGAAACTAGATAAAACTCAATTCTCGAGCGACAAGTGAACTGAGCATCGGAGGTAATTAACAAAATTACATCTCGTCAGAATTGGGGAATGCAAGCAACTGGCAAGTAACAAAGGAAACATATGCGCATTGATATTTGGAAGAAACAAAGTGACACAGAAGACCAAACAGATGGTAACGAAAGAAAAGCAATAATTGAAAAAAAAAAAAAGTTCAGGGAAAATAAAGAAAAAGAAGCTTTTAAAGAAAAGCTACAATAAATGAAAAGAAATAAGAGACAAAATAAACGAAGAAAAACCGGTAAACAAAAGAAAATCTTGTTTTTTTTTTTATGTAAGACAGTGGACCGAAACTAAAAAGAAAGAAGGACCCTCCACCCAAAAAAAAAAATCTATAAATAACCAGTTTGCCTGTCAAATTCCTATGAATCTCAAATGACAGAAGAAAAAAATTATCAAGTAGCAATGTTCATTTCATTACCAAAGAAGAACGTAACTGCATCCGGGGATTTGCGACGAAATCACTTTCAAGCCTGAAATGCAAAGACAACCACTAGGCTCGACATTGCAATACGATTCGAAATCCGTTATATTTATTTATTTTCTCAAATCGACAAAAAATTGTTTCATCACATTGCATTATTTCGTTCCTTTTGTTACACAAAGGGGTCGTTATTATTTAAAAAAAAAAAAAAGAAAAGAAAAAAAATGTTAACGCAACAACAGAGGTCGGAGGACATTGATCTGATTTTCTTCCAACTGGATGTGCAGAAGGTGATGTCGGTGCGTGAATGGTCGCTATGGGGAAAGAAATCCTTTTCCTTCTCAAGTAACAAAAAATCAAGATAGAAAAACAATATATGAAAGAAAAGAAAGAAGAGATAAACAAGAAGAAAAAAAGAAGAAAGAAAAACGGAAACGAGCAATAAATTGAGGAAAAAAGTGTCGAGTTTTTAACATGATAAAAAAATCATGTGATTGGCTTTTCAGTGAAATGTCTCAGTGGAATCAAGACTTGGTCTTTTGATTAACATAAGATAAATAGAATTAGAAAAGGAAAGAAAAAGGGAGAAAACATCTTATTAACTGATTTTATAAACAGATCCGAAGAAATTTATAATAATAATAATAATAATAGCAATGAAAACAATAACTCGTTGCGTTTTTGCTTTTCCCCTTACATTACATAATGTAGGATATAAATGTGGTTTTAGGATACACTGATCGGTAGAACACACGCTGAAGCGGCACAAAATATTTTCTTAGTCTATTACAGAATTTTGATTAGTGTCCTTATCTTGCAAATATATTGACACTAAATTCTTTCTTTCACAGCAATCTCTGAGTATGGTCATATTTTTTTTAGAATTAATCTTGACGCATCTCTTTACAATCCAGAATCTGACTGGGATCAAAAGTCATTCAAAACTTTGCCACAAAAATAGTGGCCCATTTAATAGTTTCAGTCATTTATTCGAGTTCACGCTTGCATTTTGTATCCGAGATAATATTTTTGAACCTCCATGACCAAAAATTTTTCGTGTAACGGCTTCATTTTTTGATATATTGTTTGATTTTATAGACTAAATAAACCTTTTACTTCATGGCGGGAGGAAGTGTCAGAGCGACTGGAGACGTTTTTTACTAAATTATTTTTATCAAAATATCTAAGAAAAACAAAACCTAGTTAATTTTTTTAATCTTCCATGACTTGATAAATTAAATTCCTATGAGCATTTACTGTGTTTTTTAGTCTCAAAATATTCAACTTTTAATTCCTTTGGCTTTTTTGTAAAACTCGTTTCAGTTTTGGCGTTTTCAAACTAAATTTGTGAGGAAATAAAATATTTTCACCTTAAAACTTTAATGCAAGATTTACTTGCTTTGTAAACAACACGAGCAAAGAATAAATTCAAAGAGAAGAAAAAACTAAGTAAATTTTTCTCTTTTGTTGTCATTGATTATTTTTTAATTACCATTGATATCAGATGCGACTGATTCATCGACGATTTTTAATCAAGATCAAGGCAGTTAAACACACGCACACATAGCGTTAATTGTAAATTAAATTTTATATAATAAATTTAAATCCCTTTGGTTAATTCAAATCCACTCATATTTACCAGGTGCTTAGACAATGTAATAAGCAAAAAATATTTCATATATACACACACAGATAAATTTTCTTGAATTCAACTGAATTTTTAATTTTTATTGTATTTTTCCAAATTTCAAATAAAGCGTATATCACGATCGAAATTGTGGATAAACTATCCAAAGATCATGTTTATTCTGTTATTTTTGTTCAACTACTGTATCAGTTATTATCAGTTCTTGATTATATATAGCAGAAGTGGTTGAAATTGAGAATGAATATTATGTTTAACCATTTTTCGAAGTCTGGAGTACCTGTTTGCCTAAATAATCAGCAATTTTAAATGTTGCTTTTTAATTCGGTTCTAACATCGGCCTTGGGCGCCGATGTAATATGCAACTATCTCCGCTACTAAACGGTCCAATCTCTCTTCTAATTCAAATGATCACCTTTCAATTATGTCATTCTGATTTAGTTTCATCTCAACTCATTGCTTATATCCACCTTTGACATTTTTATGCTTTATGATAGAGAAAATTTGTTTTAATAATACGAAAACCCAAACAGTAAACGACAAGTGGATATTTGTATCGCTCGGACAAAACAATAATCTTAATTTAAAATATTGAAAGCAAATTGAAAAAGACCAATCTAGCAGACCTTAAAATATGTTAAAACTCAATAAAAGAAACCATCAACAATTGTGACATCCAATAGAAGATTACTTGTCACGCTATTCCACAAGGGGGCGCTGGCGTTGAGAAGAGAGATTAATTCTAAGTCATCACT